AGTTCATCTTCAATCCTGCCTCTGCCTCTGAGTGCTGGGATTACAGGCGTGCACCACCACTGGTTAAATCTTTTGAGAGTAGTTCTCTTAAATTTGCCCAAGCTGAGCTGTAAATCACAATCCTTATTACAGAAGGGTTCCACCAAGTCTAGCACCCTTTATAACATTAAGAAGCCATTTATGTCTTTAGTATGCATATAAATCACAACACCAGTATTCGCACTGAAGCAGCCTTTCCTAACTGCACATTTTGCTGTGCATTGTGGCACACGCCTGTAATCCCAGCACTGGGAAGGCAGAGGCAGGAGGGTTGCCGCCAGTTCGAGGCCGGCCTGGGCTATATAGTGAGTTCAAGGCTAGCCTGAACTGCAGAGTGAGACCTTGTTTTAAACAAAACAAAACAACCTCCCTAACAGTTTATTTAAAAATCTACCGCACAAAATAGCCTTGCTTGTGAAAACTGCGCTCATCGGGCCTGAGCCACCAGCAGGGGGCGCTTGTCCCTCGGGGAATCGTATCTTAATGACAAAGGCTACCTCGCGCTGCCGCCTCCCACCCCGCCGGCTGCGGCAACGCTGCTGTTCTGGTGAATCCTGAGGAGATGGTGGCAGCACGCAAGACTGACTCGCGTTCGTGCCCTGTGTCCCTGCTTTCCCTCCTGTTACCGAGAGAGCAGAGGGAAGTGCATTTCTTTTTTTTTTTCTTTTTTTTTTTTGGTACCGGGGATCGAACTCAGGATCTTACACTTCGAGGCAGGCGGCAGGGAAGTGCATTTCTAATGCAGGCCGGCCGCCTTCCCTGGGTCACCGCACTTTGCTGTGTACAGAATGAACGTAAAGCACGGACGTGTCCTCATTTACATTTAGTCTTGCAAGGTGTTAAAGAGGAGGCAAAGCTGAGAAGCAAACTGATCAATTCAGTGCACTTTGCATTAAAATTTATAAGACTTTATGTATGTATGTATTTATTTATTTTTACAGTACTGGGATTGAATCTAGGGGCGCTCTACTACTGAGCTACATCTGGAGTTTCAAAAATTTTTCTATTTTGAGACAAGGTTTTGCTAATGCCATGCTAGCCTTGATTTTGCAATCCTTCTGCCTCAAGTTCTGGAGTAGCTGAGTTATTAGACATGCATTGCCCTGCTGGGGTAGGAAAGAATTCTTTTTTTGTTTTAGTACCGGGGGATCGAACTCATTTTTTTTTTTTTTTTTTTGGTACTGGAGACTGAACTCAGGACCTTGTGCTTGCTAGGCAGGCAGCAGTACCACTAAGAAAGAATTCTTAAAACCACCTATGTAGAGCTGGGGATTTAGCTCAGTGGTTCCACTGCCTGCCTTGAAAGTGCAAGGTCCTGAGTTCAATCCCCGGTACTAGAAAAAAAACCCAAAAACCACCTATGTACACTGGACGTGGTGATGCATACCTTTAATCCCAGCACTCGGCAGGCTGAGCCAGGATTGCCAAGAGTTTGAGGCCAGCCTGGGCTCTTTAGTGAGGTCAAGGCCAGCCTGTACTATATAACAAAACCCTGTCTCAATCAATCAATCAAGCGTCCTGTTATTGAGGGATCAGATAGAAGGACTGGAAGATTTTTGTCTGTATGAGGCTAAGAAACTGAATGGGAGACAGGTGTGGTGGCACACACCTGTAATCCCGGCACTCAGAAGGCTGAGGCAGGAGGATTGCTGGTAGTTCAAGGCCAGTCTGGGCTACATAGTGAGTTCAAGGCCAGTTTGAACTACATAGTGAGACCCTGTTTTAAAAAAACAAAAAGAGAAAAAAAAAGGGGCTCCAATAGAGGGCTAAATGTTCCTCTCCTGGGCTAACGGAATTTATGGTAAAAGCACACCTGGGCCAGGCATGGTGGACCACACCTGGAATCCCAGCCCTCGGGAGGCTGAAGCAAGAGGACTGCTGGGAGTTTGAGGCCAGCCTGAACTGCATAGTGAGACCCTGTCTTAAAAACAAAACTAAACAGGGCTGGGGATTTAGCTCAGTGGCACGGCACCTGCCTTGCAAGCACAAGGTCCTGAGTTTGATCCCCAGTACCAAAAAAACAAAAAGCAAAACCCAAAACCAAACAAAAGCACACATGGGTGGCTTAAAGGATCTTAACTATCCCATTCTGATGTCCATCATTTTGTCTTGCTGAGAGAGTCCCTAGGATCAGACACCAAATACTGTACTCCCCTGGGGCTTTCTGTACATTGACTTTTTTCCACATGTAGAACTAAAGCAGTTTTCTATGAGAAATCCCTGGCTAAACATTGTTCCTCTTACATAACCAGTTGGAATAGAAGTGTGGTAAAGGATTTGGGATCCTGTAGGCAGATATAGTAACCTGGACACTCCCCCTTTCCTACACACAAGCACACACACAGAGTAAGCAGAAGTTTCCCTTTAAAATTTGCTAAACATGCCTAGGGATGTAACTCAGTGGCACCATGTCTGCGTGGCAAGTGCAGGGTCCTGAGTTTGATCCCTGGTACCAAAAAAGTAAATAAAATTTTTTTTTTAAATGGCTGAGCTGGCCCGGGGATTTAGCTCCGTGGTTTCACCACCTGCCGCACAAGCTCAAGGACCTGAGTTCAATCCCCGGTACCAAAAAAAAAAAAAAAAA